TATATATATATATATATATATATATATATATATATATATATTTGCATTATAACTCACTGAACAACTTATACTGAAAAAATAACATGTAAACCTTTTCTAAACAGTACAGCCAAGTCGTCCAATAAAACATCTTCAGCCAGTTTGCAACTTTAAAGTTGGACTGCTGTATATTTTGAATAAAAGCATAAATTTAAATGTAACGATCACCGTGTTTTCAACGCCAGAAAGCAGTTATCTAACACAACCATTCTGTGATGAAAGCCAGGAACCATACGACTAGAAGACATATTTTCCTAGTCCTTTCCTCAATGACTTTGCTCGGTTCAAGGGAAATTTCCTCAGAAATCTTTGTGGCAATGGCAGCAGCGCTCCACCTGTCTGCCATTATTCTACATCGTGGATTTATGGCTGTGGCCTGTCAACTGGAACTGAAGTCTGGACAGGTCTTCCCAGGCAGCGGAGGCTCCTGCTGGAGCGGGTAAGCAAAGTATTGGGGGGACACCAGGAAACCGGATGGCTGGGTCAGGTGGATTGGGTGGCCTGTGGTGTAAGGCGGGGGTGGTGAGGGCACCAGGCAGCCTGGCTCTGCCCTGGCAAAGGAGAACCTACGGATGGAGCTCCCTGTGGAGCTGGAGCTGGTGGCCGTGCTGGACTGCCTGGAAGGTGCTCTGAGGTTCGTGGAGGTCAAGATCATGGGCAGGGTCTCTGTCTGATAGCTGCGGAGCGAGAAGCGGATTGGCTGCTGTGAGGGCTCCTTAGGTCTCAAGCAGGTACAGCAATAAATAGCCACTAAAGAGCCCAAGATGATGAAGGCGATGAAGATGGAGCCGACAATCAGGAAGGGAACGTAGACAGGTTCTAAAAGGCAAAAACAGACATAGACAGATGCTGGGACAAGGGTCTTCCAAACGCTGGGCAACTTAAGGGTGGGAGGTGGATGGCAACTACTGCTGTTGTCAGTCCAACTTCTCAGGACTTGTTACTGATAACTTCTAGAGTGCAAACTGTGATGACAGCATATACTTGCTCCTAGCAGGGAGGAAGGAAACTGATACTGTAGCCTCTGTTAGCAATTAGTCATCATATTGCACATCTGGAAATCAGAAGGAACAGATTCGATCCTCCTTTTCATGCACTAAAGGAAAGGGAAGGGTGAATTTTTCTTAGTTGCTGCAGCTTTGTGTCTAAATCCAGGTTTTAGTAGTTTTATCACGGTGGGGCACTTAGGGCTTTGACCCATATCTGAAGCTGAAAATCCATCCCCTACCCCAGAATCTCCAATCTAAGCAGAGAGAACTAGGCGTGTTAAATTAGACCCTCAGGAATTTATCAGACTACGGAAAGAACAGTGTAAAGAAATCCATAACGGGCTCCAATTAGCTGTGTCTCCAATTGCAACACAAGCTGTCATCTCTGGATGTTTCCAGAAACAATTCGGGATGCCTACTCCAGCTGCCACACCTCTGCCTCTCAATTCCTACCCAAACTCTGGGAAGGTCAAGCTGAACCCTAGATCATGATGCAGTTCTTCGTGCTGGTGGCCCAGCCTTTAGGTGACAGCATCCCTCAGACAGAGAAAAACCCGTTTCCTTTTCTCTCTATAAGACAGACATAAAATTTCCCACCCCTGAGGCACCTCTTGGGCAGTTCTCCAGGTGTCTCCCCTGTGTGACTGAACCACCTCCAGCTTAGAGACAGAAGAAAGAAAACTTGCATTGGCTAAGGCCTTACCTGTGGCTGGTGCTTTCTTATTTATTATCTGATTCAAGTCTCACCAAGAACCTGTGAGGTGGCCATAAGCTCTATTTTCCAGATGTGGAAACATCAAAGAGTTTTTTACTTTCCCAAAGACACACAGGCAGAGAGTGACAGGTAACTATCCACTCCCAAGACATGTGGGCTCCTAGGCATAAGCGTACCACCCATTCTGTCACGTTTAGTTAGCAGCACCCTGTGGAAGGCCAGGTGAAAGAGACTAACCACTTACTGAGCACCATGTTAACCACTCATACCGTCTCATTTAATCCACAACCTAACTCTGAGAGCAATACGCCATTTCAGAGTTGAGAAGAGGTCCAGAGCAGTTAAGTAACTTGCCCAAGATTATACAGTGGCTGCCTCGTCCTGCTGCGGTCCAGAGGGGTTCTGGGGAGGAGTCCCGGCTATAGACTGAGTATTTACACTTACTCTGCCGAGAGCAACCGGGTCCCCCAGGGTGAGTGGAGTAAAGCCGCGGGAAAGAGTGACTTTTCGAACAGGTCATGACTGCCTAGTGTTCCTACTTTGCGCTGAGTAACCACTTCCAAATCCTCCAGATTGGGAATTCTGACCACCAAAGTTAAATTTCTTGAAAGCCTAATGGAGTTCAAAGAGCAAGCTCCCCTTTCCTCTCGGCTATCAGTCTCTTAGGAAGGTGGGGTGGAGGGAAGGAAACAGGGGAAGAGCTCCAGCACCATATTTCTCTCTCCAGCCTCTCCTAGCCTTTCTCGGGGACCTTTTTTTTTTTTGCCGGCTTCAGACCTCCGCGCTGGAGTTCTGGGGTGTCGCAGCTCTCAGCTCCGCCCGCTCCTCTAGTTTCCCGGCCGTAAAACCGTCGCCTCGAGCTCTGAAGGATTTCCCCGATGTTCCGATTCAGGTGGAAAGCTTTTTTTTTTTTTTTTTTTTTTAACGTGTAAAGTTCCTCTGCTGGAGTTGTGATTTATTCCGCTCTGTAGTGAGCGGAAATTTGACCCGTGTTTTCCGACGTGAGAATAGGGGGCGGGGAAGCCCCTGCGACCCTGGTTTCCAAATCTCCACCTCGAGGACCTGGGCATTGCTGAAAGGCATGACAATAGGGGGTGGGCCAGAGAGGGTAATTCGATGCAGGCAAATGAAAGGAAGTCGGAAGAATGGGGCTGCGGTTTAGAAACGCTACCAAAAGATCACAAAAGAAAAAAAGTGGCTGAAGTTCCTTAGCCCTGAGGGACTATAGATGCGCTCCACGAGTTGCGTTCCCTGCGCCATCGGCACTTTCCAAAGCTCCGGAGTGACAGGGGCGCCCTGCAAAAACCCAAATCCAGCCTGGCTCTGCCCCCACAGCCCTTCTCTGTAACCTCCCGAGCGGCCGGGAGCTCCAGCTCTCTTCCCCAGGGTCACCCGGTGACCCCGTGGTCTTCGCTGTCCCCTGCAAACTTTCCTTTGGGACAACCCGCGGAGAAAGCGTGTGGCGGAAATCGGACTGCAAAGTAATACGGCCCCCGACCTGAAACATGACTACCCACTCCTCCCTGATCCCCCCACCTCGCTGTGTCCACTTTGCGCAGACCCGGGAAGGCCTGTGCGCCGGCCCGCGCGCGCACCCGCCGGCGTACACTGCAGCGGCGGACCCGGTCTGGCCCTGGGGGCCAGTACTTACGCGCGGTGATTCCCGGGTGCTCCAGCTCGCCGCGGTCGTTGGTGCAGCCGCCCTGCTCCAGCCTGGCGTCGGCCGCGGCGCAGCAGTAGCGCAGGGCGCAAGAGCCGCAGCAGATAGTGGCGTCCAGCGTGTCGAAGTCCTCCGGACACTGGAAACCCTCGTGGTAGTTGCCCTGCACGTCCACCCAACCGTGGCAATACTCTCCGGACTGCTGGGCTCCCGCTGGGCCCCAGCGCAACCAGCACAAGAGAAGGCAGAGAGCCAGCAGCGCCCCCATCGCCGCTGGCGCCCTGGGCGGCGGAGAGGGGCAGGCAGCTGGAGAGCGAAGGGCTGAGCTGGGGCTCTGGGCTCACTGCGGTTCCGCCTCCCCCGGGGCGCGGCCCGGGCGGCTGCCCCGGCAGCCGAGGCCACTCCCGCGTGGGTTAGCAGGAGCCGGGGAGGCGGCAGAGGCTGTGCTGCGAGCTCTGAAGGCCGGGGGTCGGCATAATGCGCGGGGGCGAGTGGGCGAGAGCCCGTGGAAGGCGCCGGCAGAAGCTGCTGTCGCTGCTGCCCTTTGCCCGGCTCATAAGGCCCCTAGCGCAAGGGGCGCGCCGAATCCTCTACCGCCTCCCTCCCCACTCCTCACTGGAGCCATCGCGCCAGGGGCTGGCAACGCCAGGGCCACACAGTGTCCCGATATGTGACTGTCGCCGGGTCCCGAGCGGAGCCCAAAAGAAGAACTTGAGATCCCCACGTACGGATCCCGGGACAAGCCGCCCCTCAGCCCCCGCCGGTGTCTGTCACGGAAGCAGGAGTGAGCCTGGCTGCTGCCAAGTGCAAACTGCCTCCCGGTTGCTGACAGCTCTGCCTGCTAGGCGTCCTTTAAAAAGGAAGAGGGAGGGGGAGACAGCGAGGGTGAAGAAAGAGTCCGCCCTCCCGGGTCGCGCTGCTGGAGCTATTCACCGCGGGCGCGGCGCTGGCCGCGGGTCCTTTGCGCTCTCTGGTTCGCGCGCCATTCTCCGCCTTCGCGGGACCACCCCCGCCCCACCGCGCTCCCCTAGGACTCGACGCTAAACCTAAGGGGTTCAGGCACTCCCTCTTCCCACCCCAACTCTCGCACAGCCCAGAAAACTCCGCAGAATGAGGGAGAGGGCTGCCGCGTTTCTGCGTCTATCCACGCGCTTTCGCGCGCGGGTGGAGACGCAGGTTTTGCTTTTTATGGATGTAATAAAAAACGATCGCGGTGACTGAGGTTTGTCGAATTTTCTGCCGCCTGTTGCACAGATCCAGACTCGTTCCTGGGACACCTGTTAACATGATTTTTAGGGGCCGCCAATATGTGCACTGAGTTTTCCACCTAAGTTTCCACTTTTTCAAGGAGGGCTGGCGCATTTTCACAAATATTAATACAAGCACACTCGCACTCTTTCCCCAAGTCTCCTAACCTGCGCGCTGCCGGTAAACAATCGCCGGTCACCTCCACCAGCCAAGGGCAGGAAGCTCGCAAAACCTCAAAGAGCACGACTTCTCCGTTCACACCCGCAAAGGAAATCAAAGAACTAAATTAATGATAATTGAGCAGATCTGAACTTCTGTTCGGGCAAAGAAACACATTTATTTAAATGATGTGTCCCCTGTGTGCTATTTTCAGGGGCACTGCTCCTTTAGCGGCGTAAATGCCTTATGAAACTGGTGTTACGTGAAACCTGGACTAAACTCCATAATTTATTTTTACTGCATCCTGAACTTCCTCTCATCGTTTATTGGTATGTGCTAATATGTTCCGCGTATCTCAACCTATTTGTCAAACACGCTGAATGCCCGTGTCACTGATTTAGATGTTGGCAAGTTGAGTGAAATAAAAGAGACAAAGTTTGCAGTGACCGGCAATAAAAATTGCGGTCAAAAGCATTTACGACGCCCGCAGCTTCCCAATGGTCCCAGTCGGTTCAAGGAAGCTTAAAACAAAACAAAACCTCTGAATAAAACGGTTTATTTCTAAAAATCTAAGTTAAAGTATAGCCTAAGTAAAGAATTACTTCTGATTTCTGATTTTAAATACTGGGGTTAGCATTTAGTTATGAGAATGTGGAAATAATGCTCAGCATTTCAGATGTTAAGTAGGACTGTGTCAACATTTAACTGTATTGCTCTTTTAGATATTTCTTGGGACAGTAATAAGCTATAGAGTAAAACCAAATTAAGTTCAGGCTTTTATCCACAAACAAACAATGGGGGCAGTCTTTCTTGATTTAAAAATTAAGCATATGAAAAATTATTTTGCAGAAATTTCTTAATTACTGTATTTTTGTTTACAAAAAAAAAAAGTTCTTGCCAGACTTACAGGCCTTTGTTTTAAGTTGGTTTTCAGGAGTGTTGTTTGGAATATATATATCCTGAGCAATTAAGGGGGAGAAAGTCATTTAGAACTACAGCAAAAGTGAGGTATAGTGATTATAATAAGATGATAAAACTACAAAGACATGTTTACTGCTAATAACTTTCCCAGAACCACACCTCTTAATATTATTTTTGTTACATTTAGAAGAATTCCATTACATCACAACTACATAAAGTTCTGTAGCAGTAACAGCAACCTTTGCTAGTCCCCCAAGGTCAAGTTTCTCTCATTATCCAGCTGTTCTTTGATAGCATTAATATTTTAAGGAGTGATTTGTTGGCGCTCACCTCCCATTAATTACATTCTCCATGCCACAGTGGGATTCTTTTCCTTAGGACACCAGCTATAATTAATTCCCCCACTCAAAGCCCCTGTCTATTTGACTTATTTAGAGGGCATTTTACTCAAATTTAGTTGGATATTTACTAGGGGAAAATAACAAAACCTCCAGTATTAAATTACTTAATACTGCATAGAACTGATGTGTGTGAACATTACAACTGTGCACCATGTTTTCATATCTAAGTCCTGATCCAAAGTGCCTTTAAACCATTGTAACAATCTTCTCAGGGGGGTTGCATGGAGGAAAAATGTATTTGGTCCCTTGGCATGGAATATCTCCTCAAATTTTACATGGACAATTTTTAACTGCAAAAGTGCTGTTCTCAAATTGCTTTTTGGGCACAGTAAGAGAATATACACTTCCTGTTAGGTTTATAAACACCCAAAGTTCCTGTTATTCTGTTACTACTTTAACAGTAAGGGAAAATTAAAAAGTTCTCATAGACACCCCACCCCCCACCCCCACCCAAAGACTCTAGGGGAAGGGCATGAAGATGGAAAATAAAATCTACAACATCTGGGGTATTATGTAGAGGCTTTAGATATTCTATATGCTTCCTTATCTTGGTAACACAAATTCCATATTTTAGTGAAGAACACAATCATAAGAGATCATTTCCTCAGGCTACATTCTCTTGTGGCCCTGCCTCCAGGAAATTGTATAGGAAATGAGTTAAATCAAAATGCAATTCTAGGGCCGGCCGAGTGGCGCGATGGTTAAGAACTCGCTTGGGATGCCAGAGGGCCCCGGTTCAGATCCCACATATGAGGGCCAGTGACGCTGCCCTCTACAGCTAAGATGCTGAACAACAGCTCAACCTGGAGCTGGGCTGCCCTGAGTCGCCGGCGACGGCGTGGGCTGCAGTCCCTGTGGCAGTGGATTGCCATGGGCTGCCATGTGTAGCCAGCAGCCAGCGTGAGCGGCCGGCAGCCGCAGTGAGCGGCCGTCCAGAAGCCGGCGACTGATCTGCCTCGCCAGAGAAGAGCGCAATGATGGTGCCAACTTGGGCCAGTGAAGCAACATCCTCCACAACTAGACTGAAGAACAAAACGACAGCAACTTGTCTGTCCCCCTTCCCCCAATTCCCCAGCACTGTTCCCATCCCCCCAATTCCCCAATTAAAAAAAAATGCAATTCTATTTTTTATGTATCACTAAAAAATTACATGTTAATTTTTTATATTGCTAATTAATAGGGACCACCAGCAGCATGAAACTAGCACTGGATTATATTTTTAAATCTTGTCCTGTTCACTTCTCTTTGTTTTATATTTGTTGGAGCAGAGTGAAAATTGAGAAAAGCAAAAGCAGGAGCAAGGAAAACAGGGCAAAATGAATGAATCAGAAAGGGTTGGGAAGCTCAAAAATATTAAGAAAAGGGGGAGAAAATGCCAAAGGAATACAGAAGTAAAAAAGAAAAAAAAATTTTTAATGACAATTAACTTTGGCTATGGAAACCTCTCCAACTCATTTGTAGAAATAAAATAGAAAATATAAAGGTTTTCAAGCCTCCTTCAAGTTCCTTTCTGGAGTGATTCTTTATCACTAACCTTCCTCTAATACTTTGCCCATGACTTAATGGAATTCTCTTCCTTGGATCACTCACTATAAATCTCTTTTTCCAGGACTGTCAATCTGAGTTACTGGAAAGGTATTTTTTTTCAAATTTGCTTTGGCACATAGTCACCACTAGAGAATAACAAGATGCCCAGAAGTATACTCCCAGACGCTGGCAGCCCAGCCCCAAGCCGCCCCCCACCCCCAACTTTCAGCCTGTGCTTTAGCCGACATCAGACTCCTGGTTTTTAAAAAAGGGATTAGACATCGGCTCCTAGAGCAGTGTTTCTCAAACCAAACGTGCATACGAATCACCTGGGGACCTTGTTAAAATGCAAATTTTGATCATCAGGGTCTTCGGAGCAGACTGACATTCCTCATTTCCATCAAGCTCCCAGGTGATGGGGGCTGCTGGTCTGAGGACCATCCTCTGCACCCCTTGCCTCCACCCACAGTGGAAGGAATGAATAGAACCAAAGGGACATGCCCACCCAAAGCCCATTTTCTCTCTTTTTACACCCTTCTTTGGGCCTTGGGATCCACGCACTCCCCACTCAAACAGACCCAAGCTTACTTCTCGGGTTCACAAAAGTCTCTTCCTATTCTTAAGTGGTTGTAGGGGAAGGTGGTTAAAAACTTGTCAACACAGGCTAGGGTGTCCAAACACATACAGGAGAGGCCCTCTGCCATGCAAGATGGAGTAGGGGATGGGGAAAAGTGGGGGGCTGGGCAGATGCAGGCTGGTGGACACCATATATATTCTTGCCCTGGCTTTGCATGGTAGTGGGCCTGTGCTTCTCACATCACAGGGACTCAGTAAATAATCATAGTGGGGGTAAGTGAATGATTGAATAAATGACAAAATGAACGTTTTTCCATAGTAATTCCATAGCATTTACTATACCTCATTGTAATTTTGTGACTGGGCATCTGTCTTCCTCATTAATTTGGTCTCCTATTTTCTTATTGTATCCTGGAACTTAGCAGAGCACCTAGTAGGTAGTGAGTGCTCAGTAAATGTTGAGGAAATAACTAACTGTAAACAGCAGATGACTGGTTGAGAACTTGTGACAACTGACTCACATCCGTCTCACTACGGCCTTAGAGCTGCAACTGGGGAGTACCTGGGAGCTGTACCAGTGGAGAACAGGGTGAATTTCAGGGACAGGGGGTATTTGTAGAGTCAACTCCTGATGACTTAATTGTAAATGTAGTTCATCAATAACTGTCCAATGTGTCAGTGCTGCTAGAATAAGGCAGCCAGCCACCAGCCAATCCCCCATGGAAACAGTGGTGACACTTATCCAAGGAAATATAGAGCTGTGATGCACAGAAAATCAGCCAGCACAATAGAAAGAATATTTTAGCTTTGAGTCAGACAAGTCTGGGTTTGAGTGGGCCTCTCTCTGATCATGTGACCTTGAGCAAGGTCATTTCAGCTTACTGAACTTCAGCTGCCATGTCTCTAAATGAGGGGAGGGGGTGAGAGAGAGTAACTCCTTCCTTAAAGGATTATTGTAGAATTCAAAATAAAACATGT